AGGCTCCAAAGGCACCCTGGAAAATCACATCAAGCGGTAAGAACAGACTGAAATTAAAACGAACTCGCAAAAGATAGAGTGATCCATGGGTGTCAACACAATGTTGCAATTGGGTCAATTCCTGAGGCGAGTAGCTCGAGAGAGTATGCCTTGAACACCGGAGCGGGGGAAGATCAGCGTCCAGGAGCCTCAACTCAGAGCAACAAGAGCCACCAAGGGAGCCTCAAGTCCTTGACAGGACCTGCCCAGGAGCCGGCAGCTCAGCTGACACGAGCAGGTGACTCACAGGGGGCGGAGCCAGGTGTCGGAGATTTTATGTCGTCGCGATGCGGAGGGAACACAGCACAACCAATATGATTGATAGAAGTGATCCGTTTATTCTGCTTAAGCCTGGGGTATATGCAGCCAGGTTGTTATTCACATATTCTTGGGAAACTTCTGTGGTTTACATTTTATAGGCCATCCCGCTTTCTAACATCCTTATTCCTCCCTTCAAGATACTCGTTAGTTTACCCCCCTGCACAACTGGTGTTTTTTACTGAGCTGGGTTTCTCACTGACTTTTACAAAACTGGTCCCTGGCTAAGTTCAGCCATGGGAACGTAACCCTTGCCTGCCAACCACGCTTCCACAGCCAGGAGGAACGGCGCTAGCCCTGACTGGTTAAAAACCTGCACCAGGGAGTGTGAGCGACCAGGAGCGCGGCGAGGCAGTTTGCGCGGGCAGGCAAATGGGATGGTGAGCACTCGCCGTATGACCAAGGCCCGGTCTGGGAGCTCTGCTCTGGCTGACCGAGCAGTGGCCACCGTAGACACCCAGGAAGAGCCGATTAGAGGGGAGGCTGCAGTGTACAATGTATACAATGGGCAGGGCTGCACTCGGTGTTTTCTTGTGGAGGTCCTCCTGCAGCAGGTGGCTGAGCTGCGGGAATCTATTAATAGGCTACAAGATGTCAGGGTAGCTGAGAGGAAGCAGGAATGCTTGCTCCCGGCCCAAACTGTGCGGAGTCCTCAAGCTTCCCCTGTAGCTCATGGAGGAAAAAAGGAGGTCATTAACCCATGAAGCTGGGAATTGGTGACAAAAAAGAAACAACAAAAAAAGGAGGAAAAGGACTATTAAAAGCAAGGGACTTTCTCCTAAATCTGTTGTCCCCACGCAGAACCGCTTTGCTGTCCTGCAGGGGGCTCATGAGGAAATGCACTTGTGCCAGAAACAGCCGGCTGATGCACTAGTAAAGAAGATCTCTACTGGTGCTACCAGGAAGAAGCAGTGGGTCATAGTAGTAGGGGATTCTACTTTGAAAGGGACAGAAGCACTCATCTGTCGGCCTGACCCGGTCTCAAGGCAGGTGTGTTGCCTACCAGGGGCACGGATCAGGGATGTGGCAGAGAGGTTGCCTGCTCTGGTAAGCCCCACAGACTATTACCCAATTCTGGTGATACATGTGGGTGCTAGGAATATAGATAGTAGTAGCCTGGGGAACATAAAGAAGGACTACAGAGCCCTGGGAGAGGTGGTTAAGGGCTCTGGAGCTCAGATAGTCTTCTCATCTATTCTCCAGGATACAGGGGAGGACCTAAAAAGAGCTAGAAGGATTAGCCAGGTTAATAAATGGTTAAAAGTTTGTAGGCCAGGTCTAGCGGGCACTGGTGGAGCTGGTCTAAGAGCAGTTTTGGTAGGAGGCTTGCCAGACTGGTTAAGGAGGCTTTAAACTAGATGTGTTGGGGGAGGGGGGCATCATTCCATCTCAACACTCCCAGTCAGTTGCCAGCACCTATAATAAATGCTCAGAGCAATGTAGAGATATTCCGGCTGCTCCAGCCAATGAGGCGGTTTCATTTGGAGCTTGGCTCAGATGCCTCTATACAAATGCCCGTAGCATGGGTAACAAACAAGAGGAATTAGAGATGTGTGCACGTCCATGGGGGTATGATATAATAGGCATCGCAGAAATATGGTGGGATGGCTCCTATGACTGGAGTGTTGGAATGGAAGGTTACAGACTCTTTAGAAAAGACAGGCCTGGCAGGCGTGGAGGGGGAGTTGCCCTTTATGTTTGGGATAGGCTGGAGAGTATGGAACTCTGGGGACAGGTGAGCAGTTAACAGGAGAGTTTGTGGGTCAGGGTTAAAGGGAAAACAGCGATGGGAGACATTACTGTGAGGATCTGTTACCGCCTGATCAAGAGGAATCTGCAGATGAAGCACTCTATAGGCAGATAGGAAAAGCCTCACGCTCACAGGCCCTCGTTCTCATGGGTGACTTCAACCACCTTGACATCTGTTGGAATGACGGTACGGCCCAGCACAAGCAATCCAGGAGGTTCCTCGATTGTGTGGAAGACAACTTCCCTTTGCAAGTAATAGAGGAGCTGACAAGGAGAGGTGCCATGCTTGACCTTGTGCTCACCAACAGGGAAGGGCTCGGAAATGTGGTGCTCCAGGGCAGCCTTGGATGCTGCAATCACAAGATGGTCAAATTTGAGATCCTTAGGACAGTGAGAAGAGTGTGCAGCAAGCTCACTGCCCTAGACTTCAAGAGAGCAGACTTTGGCCTCTTCAGGAACCTGCTTAGTAAGGTTCATTGGGATATATCCCTAGAGGGCAGGGGGGCCCAAGACTCTTGGTTGGTCTTCAAGGATCACCTGCTACAAGCTCAGGAGTGTTGCATCCCAACTAGAAGGAAGTGCAGCAGGAGGGCCAGGAGACCTCCTTGGATGGATAAGGAGCTGCTGAGGAAAATTCAAAGGAAAAAAGAGTCTTATAGAAAGTGGAAGCAAGGACAGGCAGCATGGGAAGAGTACAGGGATGCTGTCTGGGAAGCTAGGGACCAGGTTAGGAAAGCTAAGGCCCAGTTAGTATTAAACTTGGCTAGGGATATTAAGGATAACAGGAAGGGATTCTACAGGTACATAGCAAATAAACAACTAGGGAGAACGTAGGCCCCCTCAGGAAGCTCTCGGGAGAACTAACTACCCAGGATTTGGAGAAGGCTGAGGTTCTGAATGACTTCTTTACCTTGGTTTTCACTGGCAAAGGCTCTGACCGCACAGCCTTCGCAGAAACAAACGATCCATTGGGCAATTAGGCCTGAATTGCAATTCCACTTTAAGAATCTGGAATCGCACAGCAAGATTTTTGGCAGCATTATTTGTACCAAGTATAGCTGCGGGGAAAGCATTGACAGATATGCATCATTTGGCATGTTGGGCGGCTAAGCAATTAAATATAACTTCAGATGTGCTATCCTCGCTTGCCACAGACACAGATAGTGTAAGACACGCATCTTTACAAAACCGAGCAGCAATTGACTTTTTATTATTGGCCCATGGACATGGTTGTAAGGATTTCAAAGGTATGTGCTTCGTGAACTTCTCTGGCCATTCTGAATCAATTCATACTAAGCAGGAAAATATGCAAGAGCTTAGAATTGTTGGAGGCAGATTGGATGAATGGCTAAATAATCTAGGAGTTACTGGATGGTTCAGGGAAAGACTTAAACAAGGCCTTCTAATCTTAGCTATAGGACTACTCATTTTAATGATTGTACCTTGCATAATACAATGTATATCGAAATCACTTCATAAATAGATAGAAGGAACATGGATAGCTCTGTCATAAATAATATAGTAAAAGAATTTACTCACTTTATAGAAAAAGGGGGGATTGATGCAGAGGGTTGACCAATGTACAAGGGGGTGGTACAGGGGGGTTGTACATGGGGGTTAGAGGAATTTGCTTGCTTAAACAAAGTATTGTCTGTTGTAAATGTCTACTAAGCAGAACAAAGATACCTGGTTCTATTGATAAGGTAAAGCAGACACCTGGTTCTATTGATAAGGAAAGCAGACACCTGATTCTACTGATTAGCAGCTATTGATAAGGAAAAGCAGATGCCTGATAAGGGGGAGAAACAGATGGTTTATGGCTGGGACACCAACCAAACCCTAAGGCCATATGTGAAGACTAAAAGGTGAAAAGTTCAAGAAGAGGAAGGCTCATTTACTTTATCTTGATGACCCCTACCCACAGGAGGAAGATTCATTTACTTCATCTTGAGATCCATGACCAGAGGGGGCACTGCGCAGGCGCAAAGGACTTTCTAGGTCATTATAATATGAAGCGGAGATAGGACATGGTTATGTATAGGCATATTGTGCAACCTTACATAACTTTAGAGAATAAATGTAGAGGGAAACAACACTGAGGCACGCATGACTTTGCGGAATTATCCCCGTGCGTCTTAGCTGAATAAAAGCATACCTACTTTACAACTTTTAACTAGTTGTGGAGTCTATCCGCGTATCAGTTTAAAGTTCCAGAAAGAAATTTTTTTTATACCACAGGTAATCAATATTAAAACTATTAATATTAATATTCCTGCAACCAGTTGCCTTAACCAGGAGAGATCAGGTAACCATGAAGGTAACTTTTTCCATATTTCTTCAAACCCCCTGAAGGTATCATCCTTGGCTGTTTTATGAAATATTTTAGTTTGTTTCCAGATTTCCTCCAGCTCTGTTTCAGGAACAGCAACTTTCATTGATTCTTGTTCCACTTGGATTACATCAATGGTTTTAATTTCTATTATCTCTATGGTTACTGAGATATTTATGATTGCCTTCTCTAGTTTACTTACTCCCAAAGATGGAATTAGCCATTTCACAAAACTATGAAATTAGCAAAACTTCCAACCCAGGGTCCGAGATGGGGTATCACAGCACCTAAGGTGCATGCCCCCTTCCAGTTGGGGGTAGGGTCTTATAAACATTTTCTCCACATAACCAATACCATCCTTTCCCTTCAGGAACAGGCCACCACTGAACCACAATACCATCTATATTAATAGTGTGATTGCAATTTGAATATTGACTTACACCTGTGACTTTTAAACAAACAACCTCACACTCTGGTTCCTGGTGTAATACATCTTTGTACACAGGTATAATATTCTTTACTTGGATTAGGATTAACTATTCCAAATCTTAAATTTGTCCATGAGATAGTGTTGGAAATTGGAAGGCCAGTTAATGGAAGGCCCTGATCTTCTCCTGATTCAGGCAATTGTGCACACACTCAACAGTCACTACAATTAACAACTTTAGTAGCATTCTGCATTAATTTCAGGTATAAGTATTGGTCCCAAGCTGGTATGTCAGTTATCACGTAAATCCAAATTACGACTGATACAGTTTCATATGTGAAGGTCCTGAAGGTTCAATCCGCCATATCTTCTCTGGTTCTGGTGCTTTCTTCATTCTTGAATGATGTATCAAGCAGGTTGTTCCTTTATCTTCACTGCTGTAAAGGTGGTCAGTATTATCTGGTACGGTCTGCTCCACTTCTCCTGTAGAGGATCTCCTGAAAAATTCTTAACATAAACCCAGTCTCTGGATCTAAAAAGGTGAGTCGGATGATCCACACCTCTCGCTCTTGTCCCCAGTATTCTCTTATTTCTTCTAATTGCTTTCCCAGATTGATCAGAAACTCTAGGAGATAACCTTCTCCAACTTCCAGCAGACTTTCTCCTTTAAACTGGGACTGATATGGTCTTCCATATAAAATTTTTACATGGGATAGCCTCTTCTTTTGACCGAGGTTTAGTTCAAATTCTTAATAGAGCCAGTGGTAAGGCTTGGTACCAATATCTTGACATATTTTACTAATCTGTTGTTTGATCATCTTTTCTACTTGATCACTTGTCTGAGTCCTGTAGTTGCCAATCAATTTCTAATTTTTTCTAATTTCTTATAACTATTTTGCACTAAAGGGCAAGCCTCGTTTGGAAGAAATTGCCTCTGGTACTCCAAAACAAGGTATTATACTGCTTAACATTGTTCCAATTACTTGTCTTGCATTATTTATTCTACAAGGGAATGCTTCTGGCCACCCTGAAAAAGTATTTGTTAACACCAACAAATATTGGTCTCGGTAATTCAGAAAAATTTATTTGCCAGTGCTGTCCCGGATAACTTCCTCCCGAGTTGTACCAATTTGATTTCTATTTTCAATTTTAGGATTATTCTTGAGACAGAGCTAACATTGTCACTAATTGAAGTATGTTTTATAGATTCAATCCTGCAATTTCTTCATCTAAGTATTTATACAAAGAGTTGGTACCCAAATGAGTTTTATTATGTTCCTCCTGAGCTAGCTTCCAGAGTTGGTTATAGGGGATTACAATTCACCCATCAGGTATCTGAACCCAATCTTCTTTGTTTTCCTCACCTTTGAGATCTCCAATCAATTCTCCTTTGAATACCTAGGTTTAGATTTCTCAATTGTTAGTTTGCCATCAGGAATTAAGGACATGATTTGAAATCGTTCAGCTGCTCGTTTGGTTTCAAAATCAGCCAAATTTCACCTTGCTGAAGCCCTTGACAATGCATAATAGCTACTTCCTCAGTAGTTTCAGTAGTCATAGAATTTCTGTAGCATGTTTAATCTGTTTCTCCTGTGTGCTCAATGGTCCTTGTTCTTTCCAGATGGCACGCTGTGCATGGACCACACCAAATGCATATTTAGAATCAGTCCAAATATTTATCCTTTTGTCTTTTGCCAATTGCAGGGCATGTTCCATAAGTTTCTTACAAATCTGGTTGGCTTGAATATACAGTTTCATATGGTGGCCAAGCAGTCGTGTGTTAATAGTTCTGTTGGTTGTTCCTGCAAAAGGATGCTGGATTGACAACATTAGTGACCACAATTTCTGTATCATCATGTTGCCTGGGTGGCCTGGTATTTTAAAAAACATAAAAGAGATAACCAGTGGGCTTCTTTCTGTTCCAGGAATGCTGATACAATGTGGGACACTAGTACAGTAATCTTTTGTCCTAAGGTAAATTTGCAGGCCTCTTCAATATTCATGACAAATGTTGCCACAGCGCTTAGACATCTGGGCCATCCTTTGCTTGCTTCATTCAGCTGTTTTGAAAAATACACCACTGCCCTTCTGTAGGGTCCTAGTTTCTGAGTAAGGACCACCAAAGCTATTCCCTGTTCTTCATAGGAATATAGCCAAAAGGATTTAGTCACATCCAGAAGTCACAGAGCTGCAGTTCTCATTAGCTCTGCTTTTAAATTTCTAAAGCCCTCCTCTGCTGAATTAGTCCATTCCAAAGAGAGAGGGGTTTCTTTTAACAGTTCATATAGGGGTCTTACCAGAACACCATAATCATGCTTCCAAAGTCTGCATGATTCCGAGGAACGTTTGGATCTCCTTGATGATGGAAGGGCACGGAGTTTGACAAATGGCTTCTTTTCTAGCATTTCCAAGTTCTCTCTGTCCTCCTGTTATTTCATATCCTAGATGGGAAACTCAGGTTTGGATTACTTCCGCCTTTTGTCTGGGTACCCGATAACCATTCAGTCCTAGAAAATTCAATAATCCCACCATTCATTGGACACATTCTTCCTTTGTTTCTGTGGTAATTAATAGGTCGTGCACATATCGTAACAGATTCCCCATCTGAGTGGGTGGTTTCCATTATTCTAATTCCACTGTTAACTGATTTTGAAAAATTGTTGCACTGTTTTAAAATCATTGAGATAATACTGTCCAAGTTAATTGGGTTTTCCTTACTGTGTCAGGATTTTCCCATTCAAAAGTAAATAAACTGGTTTTCTTTGGCCAATGGTAAGCAAAAGAAAGAGTCCTTTAAATCCAAGACGGCAAACCATTTCTGATTCAATTTAGTCAATAAGGTATACGGATTAGCTATTACTGGATGAGTATCCTCTACAAATCTGTTGATTCCTGAGATCTTGAACCATTCTGCAACTTTTCTTTACTGGTAAGCTAGGAGTATTATATTCAAATTCACATTCAATTAATAATCTATATTTTAGAATTTATCAATTATTTCTTTTAATTCCCTTTGACTGCAATTTTAGGGTATATTGTGTTATTCTAATTGGGCAGGCCCCCCTTTTTTATTTTTACTTTAACAGGCAAAGCATTTTTCGCCTTACCTGGAACTTCAGATGACCATACTCCAGATATACCTGGATTAAGGATATCTTCTATTTCAGGGAGGTCCTCCAGTTCACTTTTTCTCTTGAATTAAAGATAAACTCAAAAATGCAATTAATTGATTTTTAACCCTTAATTCCATTTTGCCTTCTTTAAATGTTGCTTCTTGCTCTAACAAAGATTTCGGAGAATTTAGCATGCATAAAAATTAATGCATTCCTAATTTTTTCCCAATTTGTACTTTGTTTCAGAAAGAATGCCTTTTATTTTTCTTGATGTCTAGTAGCTCCCACATCTGTAGCAAATACTTTTCCCTCTGATTTAATGCCAAATAAGTTGCTCCTATGATCACTAAAATTCCACTTTATTTCCTCTAGTCCCTATTTTTAATTTAACCAGCGGATCTGCTAGGGTAGATTCAAAAGATTTCTATATTCCATTTTGGGATATTGCCCCCCCCATCTCAAATTCCCCCCTTGTTCTATCCTTTTGCAAATTCTTTTGCAACATTTTATGTATTACCATTGCCATCAAAAGTCTTTTTGAAATAATTTCCCATTTCTACTTGGTGCTTAATTTCATTCCTTTTCCAATCTTCATAATTTATCATAGACTGTTTACAACACCAGAGGGAACATTGTATCATACCACAAGTAATCAATATTAAAATAATTAACACCAATATTCCTGCAACAAGTTGCCTCACCCAGGAGAGATTGGGTAACCATGGAGTTAACTTTTTCCATATTTCTTCAATACCCCAGGAGGTGTCATCCATGGCCATTGCATGAAATATCTTAGTTTGTTTCCAAATTTCCTCCAGATCTGTTTCAATTCTGCCACTTTAGTCTGTATAGGAACAACAAATTTCATTGATTATGGAAGAATCCCCTCTTTGTGATGCCAGTAACATGTTTAGAGCCATTCAGTTTTGTAATATCACCTTAGATAGGCTAGTTATATCTTGCTGTTCTGCCTGGATTATATCGATGTTTTTACTTTCCATTTTCTCTATGGTTGCTGAGATGTTTACAATTGCCTTCTCTAATTCACTTACTGCCAAAGATGGAATTAGCCCTCTTACAAAAGTATGAAATGCGGTGTGCCATTCAATAATAGGGTTAAACCCTCGCTTAATTTGTTTAGCAAAACTTCTAATTCAGGTCCCGGAAGGATACCTGTCGATAGTAAAATTGGGTATTACAGCACCTAAGGTGCATGCCCCCTTCCAGTGGGGGGATAGAATCTTATAAACATTTTCTCCACATAACCAATACCATCCTTTCCCTTTAGGAACAGGCAACCACTGAACTACAATACCATCTATATTAATCGTATGATTGCAATTTGAATGGTGACCTACATCTGTGGCATCTGTGGCACCAAAGCTATTCCCTGTTTTTCATACGAATATAACCAAAAGGATTTAGTCACATCCGGAAGTCACAGAGCTGCAGCTCTCATTAGCTCTGCTTTTAAATTTCTAAAGTCCTCCTCTGCTGAATGAATCCATTCCAAAGAGAGAAGGGTTTCTTTGAACAGTTCATATAGTGGTCTTACCAGAACACCATAATTATGGATCCTAAGTCTGCATCATCCTGTCATTCCCAGGAATATCCGCAGCTCCTTGACAGATGACAGTCGTGGAGTCTGGCAAATAGCTTCTTTTCTAGCATTTCCAAATTCTCTCTGTCCTCCTGTTATTTCATAACCTAGGTAGGAAACTCGGGTTTGGATTAGTTGGGCCTTGTTTGGATACCAAATAACCATTCAGTCCCACAAAATTTAATAATTCCATTGTCTACTGGATACATTCTTCCTCTGTTTCTGTAGCAATTAACAGTTCATCCACATATTGTAACAGAGTCCCCATCTGAGTAGGTGGCTTCCATGATTCTAGTTCTCATGGTAGCTAATTTCCAAATTAGCTTTTTTAGCAAAATTTAGCAAAATTGTTTTTAAACCCTTTAGGTAATACTGTCCAAGTTAATTGAATTTCCCTTCCTGTGTCAGGAGTTTCCCATTCAAAAGCAAATAAATTTTGTCTTTCCTTGGCTAACGGTGAGCAAAAGAAGGCGTCCGTTAAATCCAGGATGGCAAACAATTTTTGATTATTGTTCAATTTAGTCAATAAATCATATGAATTAGCTACAACTGGACGAATATTCTCTGCAATTTTTTTGATTGCCCTGAGATCTTGAACCAATCTGCAACTTTTCCCATAATATTTCTTTACTGTCCAGATAGGAGTATTATATTCCAATTCACACTCATTTAATAATCTATATTTTCAAATTTATCAATTTTTTATTCCCTTTCATATTCTAATTTTAAGGGATATTGTTTTATTCTAATTGGGCAAGCCCCCCCCCCCCCTTTTTTTTATTTCCACTTTAACAGGCAAAGCATTATTTGCCTTACCTGGAACTTCAGATGCCCATACTCCCAGATATACCTGATTAAGGTTTTCTTCTATTTCAGGGAGGTTCTCCTTTTTGCTTTTCTGTTGAATTAAAGATTTATGCATTCCTATTTGTTTTCCCAAGTTGTACTTTAAAGGTTTCAGAAACAATGCCTCTTTTTTTTTTCTCTTTTTCTTGGTGGCCAGTAGCTCCCACATCTGTAACAAATTCTTCTCTCTCTGATTTAACACCAAATAAGTTGCTCCTGTATCCACTAAAATTCCATTTTATTTCCTCTAGTCCCTAGTTTTAATCTAACTAGTGGATCTGCTAGGGTAGATTCCCCAGGTCCCTGTCAGTTTAGTTCCAATTCAGTCACCGGAGCCACTCCATGGCACTGCTCCCCCCAGGGCAGTCTCACTTCCAGCGTCCAAACTCCCCATAGCACGCACACCAATCTGGTCCCACAGAAGAAGAGCCCACTCCCCCACTTCCGTCCAACATCCCTCCTGCCATGCTCAAACACAGGAGCTGCTCGAGCTCCCCTCCTTTCCCCCTTGGTTTTCCTTTTTTTTTTTTCCTCACAGTTGCTCACCCTTTTCTGCAGGGGCTGCAGATACCTGCCTCTGCAACAGCACTTCTGTTATAACCCTTTCTTAACTCTGAATGTGAATGTGCAACTTATTGCCAGTGACAGCATTCTCTTCCTCCTTATCAATACCAGATAGAACAGATTAAGAGGTTGCTCGTCTGTCACTCCGTGTGATTTCTTAAAGTGAAAAACATATCTGCATACATTACTTCATCCCATTTTCCTTGCCACCTCAAAACAACATTAATTGTAACAATGTGTTATAGTTCAGAGTTCCATTTTTAGGCCATTTTTCCTGATCTTCCAAAGTATACAAAGGCCACCATTGGTTACAATATTTTACCAATGTTTTCTTGTTTACCAAGCCCCCAAGAGAACCTCCAAGTTCTTTCCAGTGTGCCAAAATTCACCCAAAAGGATTCTTTTTCAAGATCTCTTCACTCTGCTGATTTTCCATTATCAATCTCACATTCACGCACAGACACAAACACACAAACGGGATCCCACAGACACACTCCACACAGTCACAACACTTGAGACAAAGACAGGGATGAAAATTCAACCAACCAAACAACAGTTAATAACACAGTTATAACATCCTGTCACCAGTACCAAAATCACAAGACCAAAATCATTACTGTAACAAGTCACAAAATAAGACAAATACCAGTAGAATCAAAAGCAATTCTTCCTAACCCCTATGTCTCAGACCATATTGTAACATTAATAGGGGGGGTTCCTTGAACCCTTTATAGTTGACCAGCCTGTCAGTGCGCCAAGAAGGATGAGACCCTTGTGTCTGACCAGCCTGTCTGCGTCCCACTGTGGGAACGATACTGGAGAGCCCACTGTATTGGAGGGTGATTTGACTAACCTCTTCAGGGACCCACACTGACAGCATCACTGAATCAAATCCCTTATGGGCTGTTGATAGCACACTGGACCCAAAACCATTTCCCCAAGACACCCCCTGTGCTTTGTAGGACCCAAACCACAGGATGCCCCATGCTTAGTTATAACAGTCTGTCACTGATATCAAAATCACAAGACCAAAATCCTTAATGTAACAAGCCACAAAATAAATCAAATACCAACAAGATCCAAACCCATTTCCACAAGACACCCCCTGTGTCTTGCAGGACCCAAACCACAGGAAGCCCCCTGCTTCTTATGGGTATATACCAGTAAAATCCAAAACTTTTTCTACAGGACGCCCACTGCATCTTGCAGGACCCAAACCACAAGAAGCCCCCTGCTTCTGGTGGGTGTATACGAAATGGACACTAGCAGCCGGGTATACGCCTTTACCTACGAGATTTCCTATCTCGATTTATGGAAGGCTTCCAAATCTTGCGTATACTTACCAAACCAACCCAATTACCAATTTAGTCTTTATGCAAGATGCCCCCTGCACTTTACAGACTATAAAATAATACCTTTTATGAGATGGTCCTTGTCTGCTCCCACAGTGATCTGAATGAGTTGAGGGGTCCCTCCGGGAAAAATTCCCGAGGGCCCTAGGGAGCCCTGTCCTCAGCGGGTCCTACAGCCGAGCAGAGAGGGTCCCATCTGGGTCGCCAAATTGATTCGGAGAAAACTCCAGGAACAAACTTGCCAACAAAATTTTCAAGCTGACAACCAGGTATTCTTTATTGCGGCACCAGGAGACACAGGGGATAGCTCCACCTAGCGTGGGTCCCCCAGTTGCCACACAAGGCATCCTTTTATAGTCCCTGGGCATACATACATATTCATGAGGCTACGTATGGATTACATCATTTTCCAGAAAGTTCCCTGCAGGTGTACAGAATTTTGGTGGTGGTCTCTGTAGGTCGTTTACTTCTTCCAACAATCTTCATCACTTCTGGCAGCCTTTGAAGCACGCGCAGTAGATGCTTATACCAGTTTAATTGGTTCATTAGCACCAGAGACATAATAATCCTCCTATCCTCCTACTTATCAGTTAGTTTAACTGTAGCCCATCCTGGACACCTGCGGTTCCCAAATACTCCTTATCCCTAGGTCCTGTTCTTCTAGACTGTTTTTTCTTAAAGCTATGTCAACTATAACAATTTATCTTGTGAGAATTCTCAGTATGTTCTCTAGCTGCACTCTCTTTATATATTTTTTCTCTATGTATCATGCACCTCAGTAATTTTCCATTGCTACTGTTACAAAGCCATCAAACTTAACATTACTTAAAACTAATTCTAAAGATTTCTATATTCCATTTTGTGCCCCCCCCCCCCCTTGTCTCACTTCCAGTGTCCAAACACGCACAAAAACTCCCCACAGCACACACACAACGATCCGGTCCCATAGGAGAAGAACCCACTCCCCCTCTGCTCAACATCCCTCCACCTCTGCCTCCCAAGCACTCATTCCACACTCAAACACAGGAACTGCTCAAGCTCCCCTCATTTCCCCTATGTTTTCCTTAACTTTAAGCATCTTTCCCCAGTATCACAATCTGAACAACATCTCTCCAGCTTAACTTTCAGTTTTTTTCCTGTCCTTTTCCAAAGCCAAGGTTAAGGGATCTGGCAGCACTATATTAATTTTGCATTCCGTCTGCCACTTGGGGCGGCTTCTTAAAGTGAAAAAAATATCTGCATACATTACTTCATCCCATTTTCCTTGCCCCCTCAAAAACAACATCAATTGTAACAATGTATCATAGTTCAAAGTTCCATTTTTAGGCCATTTTTACTGATCTTCCAGAGTGTACAAAGGCCACCATTGGTTACAATATTTATCAATGTTTTCTCATTTAACGAACCCCCAGGAAACCCTCCCAGTTCATTCCAATGTGCCAAAATGCACTCTAAAGGACTCTTTTTCAAGATCTCTCCACTCTGCTGATTTCCCATTATCAGTCTCGCATTCACACACACACACACACACACACACACACACACACACACACACGGGATCCCATCAACACACTCCACACAGTTACAGCACTCGAGACAAAGACTAACATTGTATCAAACTAGCAGTTAACGGTTATAAAAGTCTGTCACCAATACCAAAATCACAAGACCAAAATCTTACAACACTTGAAACAGAGAAAACAATGAATAACGCATTTATAACAGTCTGTCACCAATACCAAAATCACAAGACCAAAATCATAACTATAACAAGCCACAACAAAAGTCAAATAACAGAAAAATCTAAAACCTTTTGTACAAGATGCATATATACTGTGAGGTATATAGGAATGATTCGTGTCAGCAACTTAGGAGTTCTTATCATCATTGTACTCTGGGTGGAATCGACAGTCCTTGAAATCATTGTATCATGTGTAGAATATATAAGAATGATCAGATTATGATAGATGTTCCTGTCAATACAATGATGAAAGAGAAGAAGAAACAAAGAAATAATCCTTCCTAATCAAACACTTTGTTACTTTAAGGGGTACTTTGTTTAACTGCTTGAATGCCTTAAGGAGGTTAGGTAATCAAGAGATACATCCTGTTACAGGATGAGGTGAAACTTGTGTATTGAATAAGTATCTATATAAGAAATGGAATTTAGGAGGCTAAGATGGTGGTTAAGCTTGTGACAGACATCCCCTGTGTGAGGTATACAGGAATGATTCCTGTCAGCAATTTAGGAGTCTGTCATCATTGTACTCTGGGTGGAATCGACAATCATGTGTAGAATGTATACCAATGATCAGATTAAGATAGATGTTCCTGTCAGTACAATGATGAAAGAGAAGAAGGAACAAAGGAATAATCCTTCCTAATCAAAGGCTTTGTTACTTTAAGGGGTACTTTGTTTAACTACTTGAATGTCTGAAATGCTTTGCTAATTACAGGGGGTGCTTTGTTTAACTGTTTGAATGGCTTAAGGGGGTTAGGTAATCAAGAGATACCTTCTGTTACAGGATGAGGTGAAACTTGTGTATTGAATAAGTAACTATATAAGAAATGGAATTGAGGGGGCTAAGATGGTGGTTAAGCTTGTGTACACATCCCCTGTTAATGTATTGCCAAGGAGCTCCATGACTTTTTAAGAAGTTTCTTCACCCGAAGATAATGATGCAGAGAGTTGTACAGGGGGGTTGTACAGGGGGGTTAGAGGAATTCCCTTGCTTAAGCAAAGGTATTGTCTGTACCTATCATGCCTACTAAGCAGAACAAAGGCACTAAGTGTTGATAAGGAAAAGCAGACACTTGGTTCTATTGACAAGGAAAAGCAGACACCTGATTCTACCGATAAGCACCTATTGATAGGGAAAAGCAGACCCCTGAATCTGTTAAGGGGGAGAAGCAGATGGTTTACGGCTCGGACCAAAACCTAAGGCCATACGTGAAGACTAAAAGGTGAAAAGTTCAAGAAGAGGAAGACTCATTTACTTCATCTTGAAGACCCCTACCCACAGGAGGAAGACTCATTTACTTCATCTTGCGACCCCTGCCCATGACCAGAGTGGGCACTGTGCAGGTGCAAAGGACCTTCTAGCTCACTGTAATATGAAGCCTCCGCTGCGGAGAA